ATTCAGCCCATCTGACTCCAGGGCCCATATCCATCCTCACTGCCCCAGGTGGCCTCTCACTTGATCCTGACATGCTTGTTAGACCTTAATTCTGTCTTTCTGCTGGACTGAAATGCCTCATAGAATCTTCATGTGCTGTGACACCCAGTGTAGGTACATGTCTGTCAGGGCTCCCAAGTTTTCAAGTCATTCCTTTGCAGGTTGTCAGAATGAGCTTGGTTGTCTTCCTGTCCTCAGTCTCCCACACCTGCTCGAGGAATGGGCTAGTGGGTTAAGCAGGCCTTGCACCTCTTGTGTTGCAGATCCTCAGTGAGGGCAGCAGAACCATTTCCTTGGCCTGCCAAAACTGCTTTCCTGTCCTCCCCTCCTGAGACTTCTCACTGAGCTTCCCCTCACCCTTGCACTCTCTTTTGATCTTGCAAATTCAAACCCTTGGAGAAATCAGACAGTATGAAATATGAAAACTGTCTGAGAAGTAATTGAAGAAACACTGCAACTTTTGAAATCCATAGAGATAACACACCTTCTTGCTCATGCTATTTAATTTTTAATGGCAGATTTAATTAATGGAAATCAGGTGTTCTGGTTTCAAGTGCGCATACAGAGCAGCCGGAAGAGGAGGAAAGAGGAGGGGCGCCATTTACAGGGCAGAGAAAAAGACTCCAAAATCAGGAATCAAAAGAGTCTGCTGGGAAAGAAAAATTCTCCAGAAATAACAGTTCACTATCAGTGACTGTTAATTAATGTGTGCAGATTTAGTACAGTGCATTTCAGAAGGATCTCCCAGTGACTTATGAATGGGTAATAGGTCTTCTTGTCAGGCACAGACGCTGTGGGATCATGCTGTGGGGACCCAGGTGGTCCCCTGGTACTGCACTCCACTATCCACACTGCTGCCAGAATATTATTTCTGAAATACGAATCAACCTTGCCACTCCCTCCCTGACTTAAAAAAAGAAAACCTTTGTTCCCCACTCATTGACTGTAGGCTGAGGTCCAGGCTTTCAGCCCTCAGTTGAGACCCCACCTTTGCCCCTTGTTTTACTGGGTCCCAAGGTGACTTTCTTCCCAGCTCTTTCCCTTGCTGTAGCACCTGATGGGACTATAGCACCCACCAAGGGGTACCCCTCATGATCCCTCTTGCTTTTACATGACTCCCTCATTATTGGCTCATTTCTGCTTATCCTATAAGACTCAGTTTAACATGGATGTACCCTTTGATCCATGAATCTGACTCTAGAATGTACCCTCAGACATACAAACTAGAGCACCAAGGTATAGATGTCATGATACTATGTTTCAGCATGTAGTAGCCAAAGATGGGAAACAGCCTAATGTGCATGATGGTGACCTGCTAACATGAGCTGTGGGACACCAAGTCCTACAATGGGATATTATTCAGCAAGTAAATGTATGAGGCCTCCAAGAAGTAAGTGAAGAGATTAGGAGAGGCATGTCAGAAGTGGTGCCAGAAGGGGGTATGCATACGTGAGCCTACTCAGGGATGCACACACAAGGGAGGAGAAAGTACTGAGGTCCAGGCTGCTGAAAAGCTTACTGGTCACCAAATACCTACCCTCTGTCCTTTCTTTGTTTTTTTTTTTTTAAGATTATATTTATTTATTTTTTAGAGAGGGGAAGGGAAAGAAACAGCAAAGTGTGGTTGCCTCCTGTACACCCCCCACTGGGGACCCTGCCCACAACTCAGGCATATGCCCTAGACTGGGAATTCAAACCAGCAACCCTTTGACTCAAAGACCAGCACTCAACCACTGAGCCACACCAGCCAGGGCCCTTTTTTGCCTTTTTAAATTGTGTGTTGTGTTGTTTGTTCAAACATTATCTAGTGTAAAAGAAGAAGGAGGAGAAAGATTTACACCTCTGTTAGCTCCTAAGAAGCCAGGGTAATGGTTTATACCAGGCTGTCCTTTCTGGTGCCTCCACATCACCTGGGATGACTGCCCAAATGTCCATTGTAATTGTGATGTTGCGTTGACTGTGAGCCCCATGAGGCCTGGGAGCAGGCTCATTTGTCTCAATACTCACTGAGTTCCCAGTATGAATGTCAGTGGCTCCAGTCCTTTACAAGCCCATGATAATTGTGTAGTTTTGAAGTCTGCAGAGTGCCCTGCTATTTCCAGAAGAGGGTTCTGGGTGCTCTTTAAAAGCCTTAGGAAGGCACAGGAAGCCTTTGTGAACACAGGAAGCCAGCTCAGCAATCCCAAGGTTTGACCAGGACCTTCATGTACCAAGAAAGCAGCAATGGGGTATTCCACAGTGGCCTGTCAGACCCAGGTCTGCTCAGGCAGATTAGGTGACTGAGTGAGTGGGTCAGGGGAGGAAGAGGACTTCCTCTGAGTCATTCTACAAAACAATAGAGGAAGCTGCAGTGGTGTAATCACAACCACTTTCTTGGCCTGTGGGCACATCCTGTGACAAATCTTGCTGACCATGTGTTCAGTCTGAGCTTGTGGTCAACTTAACCACTTACCATGTTCACCCTTGCCAGGCTGTGTTCCTGGAAATACAAGGTCAGAGCAAAGGCACTGAGCTTTCCATCAGCCCACAGCATGGTGGGCCCCTCCGGGACATGGAGACTCCTTTGGAAAGGAATATTGACAAGTGGTGGAGCTCAGAAAATGGAGCCTGACACTTTTCTGAAGAGGAGAAGGCCTGAGTTGTGAGTCTGTCTTGCAGGAAAGGAAACAGGCTGGGATCAGTTGAGGGGTGCTTAGGTAAGGTACATGTTAGCTTTAGAAAGTTCCATGGTGCAATGATAGTGGTTACTGTGGATAGGGAAGGTATCCTGAGCCAGGCTCCACTGGGCATGGTCTCTCAGCACCCTGTGAAGAAGGGAGCATCCTATCCAACAGCTAGGAAACAAGGCTAAAGGCAGTACATGACCCAAAGAACACAAACATCATGTGTCAAAAGTGTGGGTCTCTGGACTGTGCAGTCTTTTCTGAAGATCTATGAACTAGAGGTACAAACTAGTATCAGCAATCCCCATCAGGGTGTCACAGAAGAGCCTCTACTCAGAGTGGAGAGGAGGCCCTGATTTCACTCATGTCTGTCCTTACTCCCTTGCCTGGAACTGTCAGTGTTGGATGAATGTCAGGCTGGTTGAGGAAAAATCAGCATCTCTTGGCTAGAACATCCAGCTCCAGAGAGAAATATGCTGAGCAACTCAGAGTGAGCACATACCTGTGGGAGCCAGGGTAGCCTGGCTGTGAGGGAAGGAGAACCCCACTTTATTTTGCACGTGTCATGTGCACCTGTCATGTGGCAGCTTTCTCATCCAGCTATGTGCCTGATGGTCATCTGAGGGAAGGTGTCAGCTATCTCCCAGTTCAGAGATGAGGACATAAACCAGGAAGAGGCAGTGTGATCTGCCCAGGCTCACTCAGTAGCTGGGAGTAGAAGGCCTGGCATTGGCCTCACTCCAGCACTATCCAGAGCAGAGTTTGTATACTGTGGTTCCTGCCCCAGGTGTGCTACCTTGGGAAAAGCCTTCCACATTTATCTCCCACTTGGCTGTTCCCTGAGATTGTGGTACAGGCATGGGGAAAAGGGTTCGTTTGTGTCCATATTCTACTTTTGATGTCTTGTTGGTCCTAGGAGAGATGCTTCCTGCCCCACCTTGGTTATCTTCTCTGAAGATGGGTGATGGGGCAAGGTGCTTTTCCTGCCTGGCTCTGATATGGGCACTTGCCACCTTCTTCGTCCCATCTACGGAGAGGTTCATTCCCCTCAAGTCAGGCTATCTGACTGCTATCTTGTCATCCTCTCTGGGGAGGTCTGACTGCCAACCTTGTCTTGGGTAGTCCTGTGGGTGATTTCATCCTTAAGACTGTTTTCTGCAAGTCAGTCTACTAGTCACAAGCCTCATGGTTCTCTGGAAAAAGCAATAGTGGCAGGTGGGTATAGCTGGTACATTTCCTTTGGTCTCCTTGGGGAAATAAGTGGAGAGTGCTGGATTCTGGGCCTGTGGCCTGGAGCAATTTGCCTCTGAGGCACAAAGAGGTGGAGTGACCCACAGTGACACTTTGGTGGCCCCTAGAATTCAGTCCAACTCTACCTTGTTGCAAACCTGGCTTTCCCCACACCAGCCTGGTTCTGTACATGTTCACTCACTAGGCAACCTCAGGAAGGATGTGTGTGCCTTTGGAACCACCCTGCAAGGCTCTGGCTGGACATTCACCATGCTGAGAAGCGCCTTGGTCTTGGCAGGCAGCAGGGTTCATGCCTGACTCAAGATCGGACATCTGGATTATAGCCCCGACACAGTCGCTTGTGTGACTTTAGGTTAGTTGCTTCAACTCTCTGGGCAACAGACTCTACTTATAAAATAAGGCTTGAACCAGATTCAGACTCAGCAAACTTTTTATTTAAAGATGGTAAATAATTTAGGCTTTACAGGCCATACAGTCTCTGTTGCAACCACTAAACTTAGCCATTGCAGCACAGAAGCAGCCATAAATAATGTGTAAACAAATCCTGAGTATGACCGTTTTCCAATAAAACTTAATTTACCAAACCAGGTGGGAGGTAGGTGGTGGGTTGCTGACCCATGCACTAGAGCAGGGGCATCAAACTCATTTTCACTGGGAGCCACATCAGCCTCACGGTTGCCTTCAAAGGGCCAAATGTAATTTTAGGGCTGTATAAATGTAACTACTTCTTAACTAGGGGCAAGGAGCTCGGCACTGCTGCCAGGTAGACACAAGGTGCTAGACTGGATAAAACAAGGTGGAGGGCCGGATTTGGCCTGTGGGCCTTTTGTTTGCCACCTATGCACTAGAGAATCCATGTCCTTCTATCCTTTACTCCTGTGGGATTCTGTTACTATGGTTGGTCCAGAGTGGGAGCTAGATATAAGCTGTGGATCAACCACCAGTCTACTTTGATGCTGATCAAGAAATTAACATCTGTCAATTTTTTTGAAGGAGCCAGAGGGAAATTTTAGTCTTTGGTAACCAGTTACGTTTTTCTCTTTGTAGAATGCTGAGATATATAAACTATCTTCACAGCAATTCTATGAGGCAGCTTCAAAAATGGAGGGCACAATAAAGTAAGAATTTGTTAATTATTCTTCATAAACTTAGTCTGTATTTGTAAAAAAAAAATTCCCATACCTGACTTGAAACCCAGAACCACCTTCCTAATTTAAAATTTCTATAATAACACAGAGGTCCACCTGTTACTCAGTTCTCTCACCTGGATCTGAGACAACCACTGATCATCTGTAATTGGCCAAATGATCTCTTACTTCTTCCCTAGCAACCTGGCAAATGGGAGTGTGACTGCAGCAGACTGGCTGGGCTATTTCAGGCTGTAAACTAGCCCAGGAGCTGGCCATCAGACCCCTGGAAAAGGCAAGGAAGGGGTGCTGCTTATCTCCCATTTGTGGAGGTGGTTTTCAGGAGGTTGGGGTGATCTATGCCCTGTAGGCACCCCTGGGTGCCTGGCCCTGTGCCACAACCTCTTGTATACTGACACTCAAGGTGGCCCCTGTTATACTCCCAGAAGGCCTGGGGCTAGGGATACTGATGGTTTGCTCCAGTCACATAGTGCTACTGAGAGCAGCATTCTGTCCCCCATTTGTTGTGCTCCTATACAACCTGCTGCGCCAAAGCGGAAGACCACAGAACCCCACATTATTCTCTTGTTCCCTCATATACCATCATTATGTTCTGTAAATGTTAATTATTAACTAATGCTGTACCCACCAGTGTAAAACAAGTATGTGTCTCTCTGGTTTACTTTTTTATCCAGTTCCAGAGATGTCCTTGCTTTGCTTTTTCCTGCTCCCTTCATCTACCACCAATGGATTTCATGAAACCCTTCTTATATCTCCTCCTTTGATGCTAGTGTATAAAATAAGCTGCAAAACTGCCATTCTCCAGACCATTTTTCTTAATTCTTTTAGAGTTTGCTTGATGGTAACTGTCATCAGTTTTGCTCAAATAAACTCATAAAAATTATCTACAGGTTTGGATGTTAAGTCACACTATACTGACATAGTTGACATCATAGGTCTACTTTCTATGTAGTATCTCACTCAAAGCTTTAAAGGGTTCGTTCCTCTAAGTTTTGTAGAAAGGAAACTAGAGAAGTTAAGTGACTTGCCCAAAGGTACAGAGCCAATCAGAGGCAGGGCTAAGGTGTGATTCCAGGTCAGCCTGACTCCAAAGCCCAGAAAGGCTCTTAGCTCCATCCTGCTGATCATCTTATGTGAAGAGGAGACCTTCAAGGAACAGGTTAAATGCAAATACAAATAGTGAACAGTGGCTTCATAGCAGTCTCAGCTAAGCTTGATCCAGCCCTGTAGGTAATCACAAGTGACCATGGATGACCACTGTAACTTCAGTTCTCCATCCGTGAAATGAAACCAACAATAATAAATGAGAGCATATGGTTGAAGTGCCTAAAGAGCACCTATCAGTTAGTACTATGCTTAGTAAGTAAGTCACTATCAGGGATGTTGCAAACAAATAACCAGTCCTTCACTCAGATTAAAAATATACTCATGCAAGCTCCCCTTTGCCTTTAGAGGATATGAGGATGAGAAAGAATATGGCAGTAGGGTCAAATTCACTAAGCCAGGGACCAGGAAGCCAGAAGACCTAACTCTCAGGACTGTGGGGTACATGGTATGTGACAAAATGCATGGTCAGTGACTATACAGCTGCCTGGCCTCTCCCCAGAGCTTCTCCCCACCAACAGTTGGTTTATGATGAGACCAGGCTATGGATTTGGCATCGCTGCCCCACAGACACTCCAGGGGATGGCCAGGGTGAGGAGCTAACTCAATTTTGCTCTTTCCAGGAGTTACATTACTCAGGTGGCTGTCACCCATCCACTTCTGAGGGGTGACTGCTTTCCAACCTCTTGCTCTCACTGATTGTGATTCTGAGTATTTGTCAGGCCCAGGTGAGCCACATGGACCCTCCTTGGGAGGACAGGAGCTTCTGTGTGTGGTGTGGCCTACATATCCTGCTAAGGCAGCTGAAGATTCTATTCCTCGGGGTCCACATAGCTAATGGCACTCACTTGGACCCAGGCTCTGTGGGATACCAATGGGAAGGCATAACGCCTTCCTCATCTCCATCTGCCCACTGGGTAGTTGCTCTTCCGAGTCTTCTATCACTACTTCAGGACTTGAACTCTTCTAAGATAACTGTTTTCTCTTTCCCAAACTGGCTCTTTAGTCAGTTTTTCCCCAAGCTGGCAGTGTTTCACCCCAGCTTCAGGTGTCCTATGTATACCCTAAGCCTGTACTGCACGTACATCTGCCCCTGCCCCTCTTGGCTTCTCACATGTTTTTCATCAGCAGCTGTTTTCACAAGCAATGTGTCACCTCCCAGTCACCCAGACCTCCTGTTTCCTTCTTGTGGTGTCAGACACAAATGCTCAGCACTCTGCACTGTGACTAGTTTGCTTGGAAGTCACCCTGACTCACCCTTGAAAGGGACAGACCCATGAGGGAGGAGAAGGGAATTGGTCAGAGCCTCTGGTTACTTTATGAAGGTCTACCAGGTCCACAGACACCATCTTCACACAAAAGACACAGAGCACAAGGCCTGACTGTCTCTTCCCCACAGGAACTCCTCAGACCTTCTCATGACCTTCACCCTAAACTAAGCAGAACTGTATCTGTATTAGATACAATGCATGGAATCTCCTGGAAAAGGAGATTCTTCTGACATTTCAAAGGTATGTTCTTAGATGCAAAAAGACCATAGGCTCACTTAAGATGAAGATTGACCTTTGTCAAGGAATGTACAGGCCTAAGACTTAACTACCTGCCAGGATCCGCTTTTAGTTAGGAATTTCAATAGACAACCCATCCTATTGTTTTTTAGTGGAAAGGAAGCTTTTCCACAGGATTGTGAGGAAAACATTCAGAGGACCATGCACAGGAGATTGTGTTGTGGCTTTCCAATGTCCCATCTCTGTTTGTCCCACCATGGAAAAAGTCCAGCTCTTTTCTTAGCAAGACCAAAACAAAAGCCAATGTCTAGAGTTTCAGCTTCATATTAAGCTTAGTCTTTTGAGCCTGCACAGTCTGCTACAGGTCCCAATAGCTGCTAGACCCACATGTGCACTTGCTTGGGGTGAAAAAGAATTCATGAATGCGTGAAATGAGTGTGTTACTGGGCAGAAGGGGAGGGAGCAGGAAGGTGGGGCAGCCAGGGGAGCACTTCTTTGTGATTCTGGGTTTATATTAGCTTGGTCTTGAGACAGAACAGGTGCTTTTTCAAAAGAAGCAATCAACTTCCCAAGTTTTCACATGCTTTTGATAGGTTTATACCCCCTAGTTAGACTGACGAGCCTTTTTACTCAAGCACCACCCCCTGTACCCTGCAACAATTCCATACCAGAGTGGGGAAGGGAGGAGAGCTAATGCCCTTGATGGAGAAATGCTATGATCCCCTAAGGTGTGAACTGTAGCTTCCTGGTGAAGTAAACAGGCTCATTCTTTCAGTTTATTGAGCTTAATGTCTAATTCCTTTTGCTCCAGTAACATTATGTGGTTACTTTTGGTCTCTCAGTTTGTAAGGCCTGCCACACAGGCCTCCCTTGAGCTTGTTAGGTGTACTATGGGGCCCTTTTCTTATCTACAGACCATTACTAATAATGGCAGTCATTCGAATCACTTTTACAGCACCTAGTTTGGCATAGATGGAGCAGATGCAATAAATAGAGTTTACCTAAGAAAACATTTGGTCTTTTTTTTTATTTTTATTTATTTATTTTTATTTTTTAATATTAAATTTTATTTAGTTACTTTTCAAGTACATTTTTTTTATCTATTTCTCTCATCCCCCCCCCCCCCTGCCTGGTCTCCCCCCTCCCTGGTCTTTTACCAAACAAAGTAAACAGTAAATAGTATACAGTTAAATTTCTTTCGTATTTAAACATTGGGGGTGGGGCTAGAATCCTTGATTAGGAGAGTTCTTGGATTAGCAAACAGTCATAAACTGCATTGTAAATGCCACAGAAATACTGCAGTCAGCAATATTGGAGAGTTTTCTTCCAAGACAGTGAGCATCTTTTAACAACTTTGAGTAAACTGAATGGTTACTTACATGGTCCATTAATGTCCATGTATTCACATATTTATTTAATACACATGTATAAAGTGTCTGCTATTGTTACCAGGAAGGGGACCTGGCTCTGAGCGGTTCTGTCTAGGGCCAGCCAGCAGTGACTGGGCTCTTGACTTTGTTTAGGAAACATTTCACAACATGAGTCCAGGTGATTTTAAAAGTATGTTTATTAAAGCTGGGGACAGTGAAACAAGAAAGCAATGGGAGAGCCTACGCAGGGCTGCCTTGGCTCTCTGGAAATGTTACAGGAAATAAATGAACCTATGCAGGGCTGCTTTAGCTCACTGGGAAGTCAGACAAGAGGGAGCCTAGGGGACAGGTTCAGGGGGTTAGCCTGGGATGAAATGCCGCTGCCCATTGCTTCCTGGCTGCAAGTCTCATGGGGTTCCTTAAAGTTTAGGAGATGTGTGCCTGTGAGAGAAGAAGAGGGGGAGGACAAAGGAATGGGTGTGCTCCTAGAAGACACAGTGCACACCTGGACCTTTGTTTTGAGGGGTTTTAAAGGCTAGGACTTTAAGGGAGGTCATAGGGGAGAATCTCAATACAATATACATCAGTTTTATGCAGATGTGCCAAAACGAGATTTATTCCCTTAACTTCATCTGTCCTTGAATGTGATTGGCAAATGGCACTAATTGGATTTCTGCTATCTTGCTGAGTAGAGTGATTTAAGCTATTTACCCTCTGGTTGAAAAGAAGTACAAACCATTTATTCTTGTTTTGCTGGTCTTGGTTCTCTCTCTTTTTCTTGTTGTTCAAGTACAGTTGTATCTATTTTCCCCCACCGCTCCTCCCTACCCCACCCATCCCCACGTCTTCATTCCTATCCTGCTTTGGCCTTGTTCATGTGTCCTTCATACATGTTCCTTGATTACCCTTCCCCCTTTTCCCCCATTATCCCCGCCTCCCTCCTCTCTGGTTACTGTCAGTTTGTTCTTTATTTCAATGTCTCTGGTTA